GACCATATATCAAGTATGTAACTTAAATAATGCGGTAAACATAATTACGACGGGCCTTTGAAGGTCATAGTTGTGAAATGCGCAGGATAAATTAACAATATGGAGGACAGCGACAGACTGGTCATGTATACGTGGGATCGCCAACATTTTTAGATAACGAGCAAGTTAAGTTGTGGGATTTCAGATTCTCAAGGCGACAAGTATGAAGATGTATTCTGGGTTGTTGCGCCGTGTAGACTGGTAGAAGTTTACCGACGTTTCAGAGGTACTTGCTGTCTCCATCATCAGGACACCGTTCAGACTAAATGGAGCAACAACCCAGACAACTTAATTTGTAGCAGACACCGTATGAATCCGACGAAAAAAGTTTCCAATTTAAATAATTATATTACGATTGTGAATTCGTGTCGACTGTACCAACTGGATCAACAGAAAATGTCGCGAGAGTGTGACAAATAATTAGGCATTTAAAAATTTAAAACTCCAGAATGAATTAAAATGAACGTGCTGTTCCATAATTCTCGCTGGCACGTAAAAACGCTGTTAGTGCACCAAGATGCTGGTCGTAAGGTTGGCGATGCTGGTGTATACGACGAAAGGAAAGACAGAAAATCTTAAACCTCTGTGACAAAAATCCGAGGCATGGACCACAGTTTAAGAAATGCTGTTTCGATATCTTGTGAGAACATTCTGCTGTATGCTGTGAATGGTGTAACAACACCACCAATGTAAAGGCTTCAGAATATTAATTTGTCTTATGTTGTGGGCATATTTTATGTGGTATTTGAACGAAAGTTTGCATACCATATCTTTGTTATATACAAACAAAACTGTCGATAAAGGTTATATTCGAAAATTAAATATCAGTTATGAAACAATCAAAATAGACGTTGATATCTATAGCAGTAAATGCAGAGAGCATAGAATGTCTTTTGTTTCATACTTTCGTTTTAACATGGCGTCAAAAGTTTCCCTTATGTTCTGATGCAAGGAAAACTTGAAGGGAAATAGCTCTTACGTAAGAGACGGTACAATGAGTCACGTGATATGCGGTACTAGTTTGTCTTTTGTTAATCGTGAAAAAAAAGTGTGATGAAACATTATTTTACCAAAGATCAGTAAGAATGAGGTACTGTATCGAAGAAAGAATGGCATATGGCGAATGAATGGAACATATTGTTGATTATGAGTGTACTGGAGAGAGAATCTTTTTTTCGTATTTATTTGGTTATAGAGCGAATATGGAAACATCTTGATTGTTATAGAACGTAAATCTGTGTAATTAAGCAAAGACGAATGTTTTCGACAAATTACCAAACTGTGATGATCACATATTGTATAAAACAATTGTTCCCGAGTTAAGAATGTTCGTCTGTAAACAAATATATAAATATATAAATATACATATTACAAAAACTTGCATTAACTCGCAACACGACTTTGTATATAAAATGTATGTCATGTGGTTACATTATACATAAATATATATTGTGTACATATATAAAATATTAGCACATTGAACAGTATAACCGGAAGTCTGCAGTTATTTGGGAGAGATCGTGACCCTCCTTACCAAATCAGATATCCCCTTCTTCCTAATAATGTTCTTGTTCCTCTTAATTATCAATTTCATTGTATTGTAATTCTGTGTAGAATTTCCTATTCTCAGGGCTGTCAAAACAGGACAATTCTTCCCTGACGGACATTTGACTTAACTGATGAGAGACCGATTTGGATAATATCGAATTGAACTGGATCCCAGTTCAATTAGTTTCACACTACTTTGACGTACGGGCAGAACGTCTTGTTGACAGCCTTGATGCTCATCGCATGTGGAATGATGTCTTTGTTTATTGTGAATCTGCATGCATAAATGGACGGTAAGTATTTTATTTATTAGTGTCATTGTGTGTTGAGCAGTGACGGCAGCGGAAACTAAAAATACCCCAAAGAAACGTCTGTGACGATTAAAAAGAGTTTCTTCCTGACAAAAATTTAACCACAGAATAAAACACCTGTCAGCTATAGTGTTACTTCCTGAATACGTTTAGTAGCCTCCTACGTAGTTTCTGCTAATTTATTATTTAAGAATTCCTTGAAATTAAATCTTTTTTTTTCTGATGTCTCCTCGGTAGGTCGTTCATAAATTATCTCAAGGTGGACTTCAAAATACTGAAATGATTTTAAACATGGTGTCAGCAGTTTTTTACTCCATGTCCGACTCCAGAGTCTCTATTACAACAAATTATTCTGTGCTAATCATTAATTAAAAGTTGTAATACAGGTTATTAATTACCTCGAAAATCAGACGCATGACGGAAATGAACACAACATATAATATTAACCACATTAATGGTTACAACATTTATCTAAAACAATATTCAAACTGGGTGAGATTTCAGGCTCTAGTGGCGACGAGCCAAGTAGTCAGGAAGAAGTTTACCGACGTTTCGGAGGTAACTGCTATCGTCATCATTATCGCCTCGATGATAAAAGACCCACCACAAACACAAATCTGTCTAAACGCTGTGTTTTTATTAAAATCAACTGGTTCATGAATGTGCACCTCCTCAATTGCAGAGGTCTTTCAATCACATACAGTGTGTCCCAAAAATATGTAAACACAGCAGCAACTTTGGTGGTCGCTTGTCATTCGGTTGCTCGCCGTTATCAAATATGCCATGATTCGCTAATTCACTAAGTGCCAATGCTGACGTATGTAATGGTTTGCTTTATTAAAATGTTTGTTTCTTTCACTGAATGTGTGTTCGTCTTTTGTTGAACCTATATACAAAGCGTTGAATAAGTGATTGATAAAATACGATGCTCTTATGAATTTTGGGCAAGGATTTTGTGCAGAAAGGAAATGTTTTTCTTCCGTTCGACCATTTTAGAAATATTCTGCATTTCATACTTTACGACCTAGCTCGATCATTACATTGTTTATCGAAGAAATTGCCAATGTTGTAGATTGCTTGGGTTTCCGTCGTCGACCTGTGGTTTAACTGGTTGCGTTCATCTAGGCGAATCGAGTCTACTCGAGCGTATGGCCGCGTTTCTTCGTCCTGTTTAATTCAGCGAGCTACTTTCAATTCTTTGGCGCTGACCCCCCAATTAAAGACAGCAAATAACTGACAACAGATCCGTGTATCCGTTCCAATATTTTTGTCATTCGTTTCAGCTGCGCTTAGTATCAAATTAAGAACAACATGGCTAATTGTGAAGTGACAAACGCTCGTTTGCAGTGTTTCTTTGAGTTTGAATATATGCCCGGTGATGGCCACCGTAAGAGCCAATTTACGTGGTTTTCCTCAGCCGCCAAAGATATTCCGGAACTATGGCTTAAAATAGGCCACGACTGCTTCCATCCGCGTCTTTTTCAAACAATCATCCATTATGCTGTACGCAGTTGAGGAAGTGACTAACCTTCGGATATCAGAAGGAAGGACAAATTCCGAAGATAACCAAAGTGCGATCCGAAATTAGAATTACGTGGTCACCATTGAACTTTAGAATCAGCTGACCGATTTTCACGAAAATTCATATTGTGAACGGTACGCCATAGGATGCCTCCCGAACATGGAAACGACACTAGCGCCAATCTATTCAGAATTTTGAATTTATATATAGCAAAAAATAAATGCAGTTTTTGTTGTGGTAATTTTATTGTAAAACGTAAAACAAAAGTATGGCGGTAATGTGAATTCTTTTGTGACAGCAAAATTAATGTGTCGCTGGAGCCAGGAATGTACAGTTTGGTACAGAAATACGTTTTACACATACATACAAATCATACTTAACATATTGTTTGTAAGCCAAGAATTACAAACATGGTGACTGTCCGAAACACTGCGATTATATCCGACGAATTTAACGCAGATAGAATATAAAGTGTAAAAAGTCCCCCCCCCCCCCGACATAAATTATTATTTATTCATCTCATATCATAAGTTTTCCTTTCCTTAGAACTTATCTTGAAACAATGGTGAATCAAACCACGCAGGCTTCAAGGTTCAGCTTGTAGCACTTTGCTTATGATGTTATGATGTTGCTAGTATGTCTGTCTTTTGTACAGAATCTACTAAATGTTTCCCTGGTATTCTTTGTGGCCCCAACGATTACCGGTATGACAAAGCATTTCATATTCAACATTCTCTGAATTTATATACTTAGATTCTTGTATTTTACTTTTTATTCAGTCTCCTTTTGTATTACATTCTTATCCGATGCTACATCTATCAACAAATTTTTATAAGATTATTGTCATTTCTGTGACAATTTGTGATTACGATGAGTTTCAGAAAAATGTGATTCAAGTAGGATTTCTTTACATTATCGATCCCACATTTTCCAATTTCAAATATTTCACTTTACACC